CTCTAGTGTGACAGTACTAAAATTAGATCGCTGCGGGTAGTATTTTGACTGCGGAGGAAGATTTTATCACATGACTTCTTCGACTGATTCATCAGACCGACTCGTCGTAACAGAAGCTGCCAGTTGCACATAAAGTGAAATTTTATCTGCACTATTTGTAGAAGTCTTTAGAGTAGGTAGGTAGATAATAGCATATGATTCCGAAAATAAGCACCCCTTTTCATTATTATTATATGAGGTTAGCATGACATCGAGCTTTTGTAGGCTACAGTTAAATGGTGCCACAGTAACAAGTTAGTTAAATCAGTTAAGCGTAAGCGTATGAAGAGTTGGAAGTTATTAGTGTAAGCAACAATGACACTGACATTGATGGGTTTATAACTTTGTTTTATTATAAACAATAAAGATCATGAAGTAATATAAATATATTATACATGTTAATGTTAATCAATTATACCGACCACTGCGACATTGAGATTGTATATTTCAATGTAATCTAATATCATCATATCTTATTGATGATCCACATTCGTCTGTTCATAATTAGTCTCAATACTGTAAATACCACCATCACCGCCACTATATTGGGTGAAAGCATTATCGTAGGCAAAATTTCCGTTAATACCATAATCATTATTACAAACGCCAACATAAATAGCATCTACATAATGATCGGCGGCAACATTCCCGACAATAGTATAATCGTTGTAACCAAGAGTCTCGTCATTATGAAAGTTATATGCGCCAACGTCTGCAATGTTTGGCATATTAATGTACACAGCGTTTTCACAGCTAAAGGGGTTCATATGATCAAAGGTGTTCGTATAGTCAACGAGGTACGTATCAATGTACTCGTTGCCGATGTCACCATTATGGCCGGCGTAAGTATTGGCATCATTAGAAAATTCGAAATCGGTACTAGTACTAGAAACCTCATCAGTATTTAAGCCGTTCGCATCAATAATACTATCCGCCATGCTATCATCCGTGCTGATTTTACCATCCTGATTATAATGTTTAAACACAATGTTTTCTTTCAATTTCGATGTTACTATGCCGCTCAGACGAGTCATTTCCGTCTTCAACGTTGGTGTTGCTTTGGACCATAGCTTTCCATAAAATATACTAGCTTCTCCATATTTGAGCGTAAAATTAGGTCTCAGAATACATCGAAAGACCATAAAAGCTGAAAATTGTCTAAATCCTTTCTTGCATTTTTGAAGTAGTTCCTCTATGGAAAGTATGGCGCACTTCTTAAATAGTTTGCCTGAATGGTTGATTAGAATAAAACCTGTAACAAAGTCTACTACCGTGTCTTTGTTCGGAGAAAATAATAGTTTATTTACATCATTCTGTGTTCGTGTTTTCTGCATTGTAGATGTAAAAATGAGATGTGAATTAAGGTAGCTACCCACTGTTATTTATTGCGCAGCGAAGAGCAAAGTCGATCCTGTCGTACAAAAATCCCGATTCATAACAACAAAGGTCATCAAATCAGATAATATCACGTGACTAAGACTGCATCCAGTGCCTTTTCAGCTTCTTCTCACTCCATTTCCACTTCATCCTCTAACTCTTCTATCCTTGTTTCTAAT